TTAGCTCTTACCTGGCAGGTTTCCACATCAGGTAGGAAACAGCATTTTAATGATGCTAAATGCCTACCATGAGAGGCTCATTTGGGAGGTCACCTCCACAGTGTAGACTTAATTCCACTGGAAACCTCTCGGTCCCATTGTCATAGCTCAATACTGGCCCTGTGAGAAATGGTCATGGGACAGTTGCTCCTGGTTGCTGGGATGAAGGTTTGCTACACAGCTGATCTCATTTGTATTGTGCTTATGAGGTCCGTGCTGAGTAGGAGGCCTGTAGCAGAGATGGATGGAGTTGCACAGATGCTCTGGGCTATTATACTTTTTGTTGAAAACTTTGCACGCAGTATGTAAGACCCAAGAGCTTATCTGGCCATACAGCAGCTACACATGGAATTAGCAAATGGATTTAATAGACACAGATCTTGTAAAGAGTGGAGTTAATGAGTCATTACTGCTTCTGCCTGTTCTAAACATATCACAGTGTCTTCAAAGACACAGTCAAAATTAACTTAAAACTTTTAGCCAATGCCTCCTGCCCCACTGATCACTTAAAACTGCAGCCACAGTTACTCAGGGGCAGTGCTGGCAGAATTACATCAGTGAGGAATGGCTTCTCTGACAAGCACTCTGTGGTATGATGCTAATTTTAAATTCCCCAAGGACAAACGTTCATTTCTTAAGTTGTCCCTGCCAGTTCGCTATGTAAGCCACTTCAAAGAGGAGAAACCCTGCCTGTGCCGCCCAGCGCTGCCTGTGGGCTAGCAGAAGGTAATGCCAGTAGGTCTGGGAACCCCTTGGCTGAAGGAAGGAACACATTGGTGATTTCCTCCCTACTTCCTGTTAAAACTACACCATCCATCACTTTTTATTTCTCATTTTCAGTTCTTTTGTATGTTCTGGTTTTACTCTGCATTTTGTCCAGTAGTTCCTCAGTGCTCTCCTATGGAGAAACAGGATATAATGGCTACTGTGGCTATTTTTCTCCTCAGAAGTTTGTTATCCACAACTTCTCTGGGGAACCTGTCCCCGTGTCTGACCACCCTCACACAGGAAAGAATTTCTTCCTCAGATCTCATCTAAATCTCCCCTCTTCCAGTTTAAAGCCATCACCCCTTGTTCTGTCACTCCCTGCCCTTGGCCAAAGTCCCTCCCCAGCCTTCCTGGAGCCCCTTCAGGTACTGGGAGGCCGCTATAAGATCTTCCCGGAGCCTTCTCTTCTCCAGGCTGAACAGCCCCAACTCTCTGAGCCTGTCCTCACAGCAGAGCTGCTCCAGCCCTCGGATCATCCTCGTGGCCTCCTCTGGACTCGCTCCAGTAGGTCCATGTCCTCCTTGTGTTGGGCTCACACTAACAAAAGCTCAAGCTCTCATTTCCCCACTGATAAACGCTGGGTAAGAATAAACCGTCACCCCAGCGAAGGTTCATTTTCCAGCAGGTGCTGGAGATCTCCACCAGCTCCCCTGTTCCCACCAGCCCCAGCCCAGCGCGGGGAGCAGGCAGGGCATGAGCTCCCTCTACCGTGAGCCTGCACTTATGGCAACAAATACATTTTTAAAGAAAAGCTGTCCCCCCCAAAAAAGTGTCTTGAGAATGCTGAAGCTGGGTACAACTGCTGAGACAGCTGTTGAGCAAAACTTGGCTCAGGCACTGATGAAAGAAAATCGTGTAGTCCCCATAAAATCCATCAGTATGAAGCCCCACACCTGCAAGAGGTTAAGAGCTGCTGCTTGGGGAAACTGGTTATTGAGTTATAAAAGCAAATATCACTGGGGTCTGAGAGGACACAGCCCTGCCAGGTAGTTCCTACTGGTTTTTAAAACCAAAGCATAGAAGACTCTTATGAGCAGCAGCAGCAGCACAGTTACCTTTATTGCCTGTGTAACACCTGCGTGAAGTGACAAGCAGAACACGTTATAAATCCATGCACAACAGATACACCAATGGTTCTTGGAAATCTTTCAGAAGAACAGTTTGTAAGTCCATGCCTCTATAACCTCATGAGCTGGGCTTCTGATGTACAAACTCACTTTTTTTTTTTAAAGCTGGTATTTTAAAATGGTATAGAAATGTTTCTTTACTTGAATACTAAGTGAATTAACTTATTTCACAATAAAAATATAGTTTAGTTCTATTAAATTTTCTTCTGAAAATAAATGTTTTCTATTTTTCTGCTGTGACAATAAATTGCAACGTATCACAAATGTAGGCTTTAAGCAGATTTATAAATAAGCAGGAATTGAGTTTTCCACCTATAGTTTATCTGAATTCAAGGCATTTAGTAAGAGATAAGCTGAAGGTGCATTTATAATCCAAACTCACTTTGTCAAGGTAAATACATACGACTGAAGTAGATGTAATGAGATTTAATGCTGTGGTACTTGTATATAGGATAAATATTCATGAATGATTTGTTCCTCTTCCTCCAGTGTTAAATCCAGATAATCCTCTTCATGTTCAGGAATATCCTCTAGGATTTCATTCACTGCATCCGTCTCCATGTCTTCTTCTGTTGGTGAACTAGAAGAACCTTCCAACAAAGAAAAGCAGCAGTGAATTAAAAGTTGGTATTTTCTCTCTTTCACCAGCACAACTGCTCTGCAAGCCCGGGACTGTAAACCTACTTCAGTTAAAAGAGCTCCGCAAAGGATATTGCGGGATGACAAGCTTTTCCTGTGATGTAAAGCTGCAGGAAAGCCCTTAGTTGTACAACAGGGATCACTACAGTTCTGACAAATAACGGGAGAGAGAGTACGTGCAAGTTTCCTCTTTGCTAAATGGCGAGTAGTATCAGTTACAGTTCTGCCACGCAAGGGCTGTGAGGAAGGAGCGTGTGGTCACAGCGGCTGACTGCAGAGCACAGATTTGGAATGAACGTCCGCAGGCAGAACTCTGGTATCAACAAGGCAAAAAACCATCATTACCAGTGGTAGGTCCAGGGAACGTGCTCCAGCAACTCAGTGCTTGCTCTCTGGAGGAGTACAGGCAGGGAGAGCTGTTTTTAAGGAGAACTGGTGTGAGTGAGTACCATTAGATTGGAGAAGCTGGATTTGCCTGTGGGCTGGAGAGGGCCACGTGTTCCTCACTCGGGAAGTGAAGACACAGACAGCCGAGGCCTCCAGTCTTGTGTGCCAAAGCCACAGCCCAGTCAGCAGCCATTTCCTCTTTGCCCTTCTCAGGA